ATATTCCGTGCACTCTTTTTTTGCTCTAACAATCAATAATTTATTGTAAATTAACCTGAATAGAAATAGGCAAAAAATAGGTTAAGGAGATGAATTATATGTGACGTTAATTTACGACAAATTATTGATTGTTAGAGCAAAAAGAGAGTGCACGGAATATCTTACAAATTTGTTTAATCAATTGCAAATGTTATTTTACGGATATACATTTTTATTTTATTGTATTTCGCAAGAATTTTTAGCATGCATTTTTTCGCTTCTGACATTAAAAAGAGATAGACAATGCAAGAGATCAGAAGCTTTAAGTAGTTAAACAATATCAACAAAATGAGATTGCGGAAAGTGCTAAAACGAACTATGCGGACAATGTCTTATCTAGACAAAGTCTCATGCATATAAGCCATTTCATCGATGCATCGAATTCGTGGAAAATCTGGTAATGACACACGACGTGATACCAGAGACATGTAATTTATAATCTTCTTTAATGAGTAATTTAGTAACTATTAATTTAATATCTTAATAATTTTATTGCGACATATGTAAATTAATACAGGACTTTTGTATTTAAATTGACATGCTCTATCGGCACACGAACGTTATTGTGCTTTAATTCAGACACTCTGTATGTACGTATGTATATAAGTATGCATATATGTGTATGTGAGGATGTTCGTGTGAATGTGATAATATATATCTTGTATTTCTACTGATATATTATGTATATGTAATATATTTTATATATATTTTATATTTTTTATATATATATTTTATATATATTTTATATATATTTTATATATATTTTATATATATTTTTTAGCCGTTTATAAAGTCGTTTTCGTGTACTGTATGGACATTATTGACCTAATGTGCACCATAACTTTTAGTTCACAGCGAATTGAAAGAAAAAATGTTGGACAAATAGTGTTTAATGATAGATATAAAAATGAAAAAATTTTGACTGATATAAAAGTGTCTTATACAGAGCAATATAGTGAACGTAGTAAAACGTTGGACAAGATGTATCGAATAAATGGTGTAGGACCAGACAGTCGTTATTACAAGTTTGAAGTAAATGGAAGGGAGTACACGATAGAACAGTATTTTGTTGAATTTAAGAATTATGGAATACGCAACCCACTTTTCCCTTCTCTTTAGGTTGGCAAGAAAGATAGGCAGATCTATTTGCCTGCAGAAGTACGTAAGCCGTTTTATATTCTCTGAAACCGATCGAACGGCACCAGTAAAAAATTCGCTCCAATGTTTACAGTTATATAGAATTACACTTGATCAAGCGATTAATAGGAAACTGGACAAATTGATTGATAAATGTGACAGAATAATGGAAAACCCGAAGAAACATATAGATGATATATAAACAGCAGTAAAGCACATTTCGCATTATTGTCCGTTAAAGATATTATATCTTAATTTATCGTGTTATATATTTGCAGTTCGAAATAATCGATGTAAATAATAGTGTTGTTGTGCAAAGAGGGTTCCATTTGAAAATCGATGTTAAAAAAAAAATTTGATGCTACGATCTTACCTCCTCCGACACTTCAGTACGACGAGGAAACGTCGACAGTAAAGAAAGGAAAGTGGCAACCCAAAAAATTTAGTACAGCTACGGAATTAAGGGACTCTAAATGTACTGTCGTCAATGTCTGTAATGACGGGATAGATCATTACTTATACCCGTTTAAGGAAAATTTACAGAATCAAGGTTGAGTATGTGAAAAATATTATATTATAAAATAATAATATATATTTGTTAAATTTTAACCCTGTGTCCTATTCTTACAAACTGAAACGGCTAAAATCTTTGCACGTTACTCAAGGATATTACTTTGATAACATATGTTAAGTTCATAGGAAGTGAATCTTCTAATGTAAAGGTTTACCAAAACCTTCGTTAGTGTCGTTCAGAAGAAACCTCACAACAGTTGCAAAACTGCTGCCAACGTAGCGAAAAGTGCTTACTAAGCTCCTTTTTCTGCTGAACGTAGCCATTGTTTCTCGACGTATTGCATCGTGTCGCTAGAGAATAGTCGCAAGTCTCAGCCATTTTCGATGAGATCGTATTTACAGATCTCGTCCAACAGCATTGCACGCACTGACTCGCTAACCCTCTTTCACTAATTTCTCGAAATTTTATGTAATTGTTTGAAAAATGGTAAAACGGATCTTTTACACAAATTGATGAGTTTTACCAGCACGTGTGCATTCACGTATCTTGCGTTAGACTCTTTATATAATACAGACAGCAGGTACACGACAGCAGGTTGAAAAATTGAAATGAGGCGCAAATGGTGGTGGAGATGGCAGCCATATTTCGGAAAAGCACATATATCAATTGTTTCATTCTAATCGATCAACTTGGAAACCAAGAAGCTCATAATATTATGAGCTCTTCCGTTTATACTATACGCTCTTTAAGTCTTGAATTCTTTGTTTCACTCTTCTTGCTCTTTTTTCCTATATATGCTGATTTTGCCTTTCTGGGTTATGGCGGCAGAACTTACTTGTGCATCGTGTTTGAGCATACTTGATAACAATCTACGTATTATATAGAAGTTTGTGTATACACTTTTTAATGTATTAAAAGGATGAGAATAGTATTTATTCTGAGTATTTATATGACACAAATATAACTTGCTCATTAGAAGATACTTTACAAAAACATAAATAATAATATCGACAAACGGGGATATATATTATATAGAGCTGGTAGTTTATTATTTATGGTAATTTTATGTATTCAAAACTCGTACTATATGTATCTTACACACACACACACACACACATACACATATGTATATATCCTCAAAGATTATAAAGATAATGTATTTGTTACTGTTATATTTAATCATAATAATTATTATAGTAATTGTAGTATAATATAATAATAATTCAAATATGATAATTATAATATAATTTAATTATAATATAATAATAATTCAAATATGTTACTTTTCTTGCACCTAGATATTACTTTATTAATTTTTTCATGTTTTTAGCAACTGACCTTGGTATGAAAATGGAAGAAGCAAAATATTAAAGAATGACACTACAAAAAATTGAAACATTTCTCCGGGATAACAATTTTATCTTAATTGAATATTGTGAAACTATGCAATGTAGCAGTAATAAAGAATATTCTTCTAAAAGTAAGTGCAAAATTAAATTAATTATACATTTACTCAGAGTGAAATGTGTATAGGAACTTGTGTTTTATCATATCATCATCATCAATGGCGCGACAGTCCTAGTGAGGACCTTGGCCTATCTATCTCTCTCTTTCATTGTGGTGCGCAGATTATACTCAGGCATACGGGACCTACACAGTTTAACGCTGATTCCGGACGGCAAGTTTTGTTTGAGAGATTTTCGTGGCAAGGATACTTTCCGTGGCAATGATAAAATACTTCACACATTTCACTCTGAGTAAACGTATATAATTAATACCATTTAATTTAATTAATACCACTTGCTAAGACCTCCGAAAAGGAGACACGAGCCACCATAGAAGGAGGAGGGTATACTAGGTGGCGGCGGGACGCCGTGCGTTCGAGATCTTTTTCGTTCCAGAAAGAGAAAAATATCGAGAGCGCGGTCCTGCTGCTAGGCCGGGACTCGAACCCGGGTCTTTCGCTTGCTGGGCGACTGCTCTAAACCACTGAGCTACCTGACACTTCACGCTCACGACACTCCTCACGTATGAAAATTCCTAGCTCTGCCTGGAATCGAACCCGGGATGACCTCTAGCATAGCAGACCAGTGCGCTGTCTGCCACGCCATGCTCGCGCTCAGTTATATGTACATATGTGCTTTAATTGTATGATTATATACAATTTTAAGTGGTATACTGAATCTGACGTAAGACACGCCAATATTGGTTTGCAGGCAATAAAATATATAAATCTGTGAATTAAAACGATCCTTTACCATTTTTTAAATTATCACATAAAATTTCAAGAATTTAATGATCGTCAGGAATGAAGGACAACATGAAACTGAAAGTTACATGCTATTTCTGAATAAAAATAAATATGAACGAAAGAGTACTTAAGATTATTTGAGTATACTTGTAAAATTGTTCGAAAGGTATCCCTTTCCTCTTATAATTAATTAATAGTCGTATAATAAGTGGTGAAATGAGACATGCAGACAAAACAGACTTATTTCATCATTTATTATACGATTATTTATTGATCATCAGGCGACTTTTTTATCTATATTTATCTTTATTCAGAAGTGGCACATAATTTTCGTCAGCACGTTATTTCTATGAAATAAAGTTTATCTCTGTGAAAAAGATAAATTTTCATCCCAAGAAATAAATTTAAATATTTTCTTCTCGGTACGGTTAGGATCATGGAATTGCGTACATAGCAAAATTTATCAGTAAGTCAATTGATCAATTACCGTCAAGCACTCTTGAAAACGTAACTGTCCTTTATCAATTGCTAATTTATTTTTAAATCTGAATTTCTGTTTTTTATTTATATACTTCTGTGCGATGCTACCACATAGCTTTACAATACACGCGCAATGTTTCAAGGTTTTATATAATTATAAATATTTCCACTTTAATGAATCTTAATTTCAATACAACAATAAAATATTTCTTTTCTCAATCTTCATTGTGTTAAAAAATGGAGTATTGCAATAAAGATTTCTTATAGCATTTATTAAAAGTAAAAAAAGAGGAAACTATTCGATATTCCACTCAATATATTTAAACACGATATTTTCTTTCAACATCTCGACATATCTAGTGTCGATAAAGGCTGCGTTCCGATATTCGCTGCCAGTACTGAAAATCTATAGTGTACGCGACATGAACTGTACTGTTTCAGTATTGGTAGTGAATATCGGAACGCAGCCAAAGGAGCACCGTTCGCCATCTCTCCCTTTCTCACTCTCTCTCTCTCTCTCTCTCTCTCTTTCTCTCTTTCTGTCTCTCTGTCTCTTTCTACCTCGGCTCGGGTCGATCCCCTTTAAACGCGCGAATGCAACAATATGGCGGATCACGCTGTCGCGCCGGCACGCGCGTTGCATATCACGCTTTGACTCGTGGCATTCGGCGGAGTCGCGGAATCGTGTGCGGCACGCACATACGTACGCGTTCGCTCTTTTATACGGTCGTTGTCTTCCGGTTCTCCGATCGGAACCTCGTGCGGGAATAGAATCTGATCCTCGATCAAGTGTCGCGTCGCCGTGAGAAGATACTTTCGGCGTTCCTCGTCGCAGCTGTCATTGTCGTCGTCGTCGTCGTCGTGCCCGTCCTCGTCCTCCGGCGTCGTATTCTCTTTCGTCCAGTTATCGATCAGTACCCGGCACCGACGGCGATGTGCCGCCGCAGATGATGGAGCTGACGGCGCGCGACCTCGCCGACCACCGTCGCGGTCGATCCGCGTCCTCGCGGAATCTACGTCGCTGCTGAAGAAGAAGGAGGAGAGAGAAGCATCGGGAGAGGACGCGTGTGTGTCGAGTGTGTTGCTGCTCTGCGGATCGACGACGCTCCGGGTATCCGTCCGTCCATACGGCCGTTGACCGGTGACACTGTGAGTACACAGATGAATATCGCAAACACACGTTCTTAGATATTAGGTCTGTTCTTTTTGGCCGGACTGTCCGACTGTCTGGTGCACATACACTGGTACAGTAAGTTAGAGCGAGACGAATATATTTTGTTTTATTGCAATATATTGCACCAATTCAGGCGATTCAGCTGAAAAGAACAGATCTATTGTGTATGTATCGTGTTGCTGGAAATCGTGCGACAAGTGTGTACGAGACATATACGCGTTACACACACGTACAGATTCACACACGGGATGTACAGTCTGGTAGATCGATGTTGCGTTCCACTCGTGGCGGCGGCAGCGTTCGCCGTGGTCGAGTCTCTCTCCGCAATATTTAAGAAAAACATCGCGCGAACAAACAGGTGTACGTGTAAATTTTACAGCAATTCCGTTAGCTGATTTGAACTAAAAGTTGCGTCCATTATGATTTGTACGGCACTCATGTTTGATACATAACGACAAAATAGAAATACGAGAGAAATAGGAAAAGAATGATCAAAATTTGCTCGAAACAGTATATCGTGTAAAATGCAATATAGAAATCTGATAGCAAATTCGGTAGCTTGCATTGGTGCGCATTGAGTGCTTGCTAAGACTTGTTTACAGTACATTCTTATATTTATGATCGTGTCTTAAGTACATATTTAAAAATATTTTAGATAATAAAATGATTCGTATGGATGTTGTATATTATATTACTGGTTAAAAATATTTGAAAATTTATTTAAGGCAATCTTGAAATATAATAACATATGAACAAGACTTAGTGCGCACTGAGTGCGCACTAGTGCAAGTAACCTAATTTGCTATGAATATTACTTTTAGTAAGTCTGTTGCTGCATCAATATAACAACAAACTTACTACTGTATAATATGTAGATTTAACCATCAATTTTTTCGATACATTTGCCTCATGAGTACAATTGGAAAAGTTGCAGAGCTCCTCCATCGTTGATTGCCTCACGTCGTGATAATTTGGAATGTCTTCTTGCGCACATCAGCGCGTTATTTTAATACGTCAGTTATTCACACTGATTAACGCGTATTAACGAACGTATGTATTCGCTTCTGATCTAGATGGGTTCGCTGCCAAATACGGTGTGCAAAAAGAATTCTCTGTTCCGTGCGCCATCTACGAGATAATTCGCATAAGCTTTTATTTTCTCGCCGAATAATCAATGCAATTAATTAACGTATCAAAGTGACACTCCGGTTTTCAAATGTCGTCGGAAATAGAGGTCACCGATGTCCACCTGCTGAGTATCCGAATTGTTTTCGATTTTTTCTCGTCCGGTCTGTAGAAATTCATTTGCTTCGCGCGCGATAATATCGCGTGGCTCGCGTTTGTCTCGATGCTCCAGTATTTAATTAATGCATACAACGATGCATTTACAGCGGGATATTTTGCGCACCGAATATATACACCACTAATGAATAAAAATTGGTTGATAGAATCGACTAAAACGAGACACGATGTCGTGGTAGACTCGACGACATCCGTGCCAACTTAATGTTAAAAATAGAGAGGCAAGTCGAACGTCACACACAAGAGACCTGATATTTTGCGAGTGGCAATGGGGGAAAATCGGGGAAACAATCGCTCTCGGGAAATGTGCACAAATATTTTTCTGCACTGAGAGAAAAAGTGATTAATCTCATTAAGAATTATAGTTATTTTCGCCAACTGAAAAAAAAATATCTAAGAAATAGTAAATATTTATTCAGTGGATACTAATAACATATTGTACTGATATAAAATATTTTTTAAGTGAGAAAATGTGCATTTTCTTTAAATCTTAAGAGAATCTTAACTTTTCACGAAAGCTATTGTTTACTCTTTCTAAATAACAGAATTTAGATTTAAGTAAATCAGCACCATCAAATAAATATTCACTATTTTTTAGATATTTTTTCTCACAGTGTATACTGCTCGTCGTTCTCATAAAAAAGTAGTAGTAGCAATATGCACATAAGATTGTTATCACTAACACTAATAATAAACTAGTACTTTATTTAAAAAGTAAAATTAAATATTTAATTAAAAATGAAATAATGCTACATTATATAATAATATATAATTACATATATTATATATATAATAATAAAACATTTAGGCAAATACTTGTTACAAAGTATTCGTTACAAAAATAGTTCTCTCCTGGTAATAACTCTTTCATCGCGCGATTACAGTCACCAAATACGAAACACTTTCTTTTCCCAGCGTGTCATTCACACCGTATCACTGTGTTCGCAGAACGCGTTCTTGCTCACAAGCTGATAGACGTGACGCATCGAATCTGTCGAATCGAATCGAACGCGGCGTTATCGCGCTCAGAGGACCTCAATGTCGACGGGACACGTCACCATCGCGTGCCGTTTGTCAAGGAGGAAGGGAAATTGCCGCGCGATTTTCACGCCCCGCGTGCACTTTTCCGGAGGTGCGGGGCACAGTTTCGCAGACGTGAAATCGATCCGATCCGCGGCTGCATCTTCGACCTGGATGCAGCAGTCTTGCAGCGCGCGGTGTTCCTGGTCATTCCTTTCACTTCGTTGACGAGCGAACTCCGCGCGCCGGCGATTGACAACCGCCCGTGCCGATGCATGATGATTGTTAATGACTCTTCTCGCGCTTATCGCCCGGAAAAGCTCTTCCTTCGACTCCGCCGCGGCGTATTCGTCCTTACGAGCTGGTCAGTTGAATCTTATTGTCCTCCAGAGTGAAATTCTGACTTCGAGATCCGCTTTCCATGAAGCTTTCTCGTCCCATAGTCACGGTGTGACTCTTTCGCGTTATCCAAAGGAGGATAATCCCGAAAAACAAATCCTCGACATGAGATTTTTAGTTATTAATTAAAGGATATTGGTGCACTGTCGATCGCGTCCGCTAATCTTCTTTAATTAATAACTCGGAAATCTACTTCAAAATAATCACTTGCAAAATGGTAGAGGATTTTCTAGCTTGATCTAATCTACAGGCGTCGCTATCACAGCTCATCTGCCTTGTCGCGTGTGACCAATCTTCTTTAATTGGTAACTCGAAATTTTACATGATTGCTTGTGAAATAGCAGAGGAATTTTGTGTTCTGACCTAAACTACGCATGCACACGAGACACGTCAGTCACTCTGTATATATATACAACATTAAAAAAAACTATTATTTTTTATTTCTCTGGTACGTGCTTTATTTAAGCATCAGTTTATCTAATAATAAAGATATGCAGATAATAACAAGAGATATACAGATATTTAAATATTATGAGCTTTTCAGCACTGAATTTTGAAAATGGTCGACAATTCTGAATTTTATGTATAATATATGTGCGTATTAGAGTCTTTAATGTCATAATAGTTCTTCATCGAAATATCCCAGATAGCACAATGTCCGAAATTGGGTCATAAGACGTCTTTAAGATATCTTTAAGACAAGTTTATAAGATATTGTCTTAAAGATGTCTTAAAGATGTCCTAAAGACGTCTTATGACTTGATTTTGGACATTTGTACTGTCTGGGATTGTACGCAGTTTAGAAGATATAAAAAATAAAAATGATAAATAACGCGCTAGTCTCAAAGAACATGTATAAAGTGTCAGCTTCAGTCGCAAATATCAGCTCTCAGTATTTTTTCTAATCACACGAACAGTTAGACAACATTTCGGTGTGCGCGTAGCGCAAGTTTTGTCGAATTGCCATGGAACTCGCTTCACAATGCAACTACCTTAAGGAGAGAAGGAAAAGGAGAAATTATGATTTATCGTGTCGCTAGCTTCGCGCTCGTTCCTACCCTCGGCGACGATTACGAATGTTAATCGCGAGGAGGATGATTGAGTGCGCGAGAGATGTTCGCGTTCGGTAAATATTAATGACAAATTCCCACTGATCTCCCGCGGCCGAGGTGGATTCCTCATTATCGCATCGCGAGGCATCATGCGCAATCGATATACGTGCACGTATGAAAAGCCCGCTACCCAAGCGACGGCATGTGCATATGCATGCATGCATGTATGCATGCATGCGCCTGCTAGTTACGTGCATATGCGCCACGTTGCACGGGGTCGTTGCCCGCACGTGTTCTATTCCCATCACTAATACATTCACTGACAAGAAGCGGCAAAGCGTGCCGACACGGCAGGACCGGGTTTTTCACGAATTCGTAACGCAAAACGCGAATGGGAGTTCGCGGGGAACTGCGTGGTATTTAAAACACATCTACGAATGTGTATGTGTGCGTGAGTGTTTTATTTATTTATTATTCCTTGCAGCCTTTATATCGTCTGGTCGAAACTCGCGACTCATAACGCGGCTGTTTCGACATAAAAAAAAAGCGCGACACTGATAAAAACTTGGCGCTGTCTCCGCACTAAATCGTGCGATTGTGTGTCTCATAGCGTGATAAATATTAGTTAGCGCGTGGTAAATATTAGTTACTCCATATGTGTTAGTATACGGCAATATACGTGGAGAAAAAGAATTGGTTGAATTAAGGAATCAGACCAATGTAACGCTCTGAAAAAGCGTGTTTTTGGGAATTAATTGTGGGAAAATGGATCAAACGAATGTTTTGAAACATCGTATATTAATTAAGTAACCACTAAACTTTATATTACTATTTTTTTCTATTTAGGAAAACCTATAAATAAATATGTAGCATGTGGTCGAACTTACGACCGCAAAAATATACCGCCAACATACACGCTGCAATCGACGAGAAAGGTAGCGTCCGTTGTAGCGACTTGAAAGATAAAAAAACCAAAAAGTTTCTTAAATAATATGCTTGTAGTTTGGAGAATATGTCGGAAAAAATCAGAAAAATACATCAAACTTAATACCTTTTTTAATAGGATAAAATAACAGAAAGATATGAAATTTGGATATTCAATTTTTAAACAGCTATTATTTCTGCAACTTCCGTTCCACAGCTTAAAATTTAGGTTTATCCTCCAACTACAAGCATATTATTTAAAAAATATTTTGGTTTTT